ATTTGCAAATTCTTTTGAGGCAATGATTTCTCTTCACAAGTGTACGGCTAAAAATTAAAAACTCTAAAATCTTTTTGACTAAATGTTATTTTCATTGTTTTCTGCCCTAAACCCTGAGATTATTAAAAAGATTCTTCTCACTTTGCAAATCTATATGCAGTCAAACTTGCTATTTATCTTCACAATACACAATACACAAAAAAAAACCCACCCCATCTCAGAATGGACTTCAACTGCAAGTAASTGTTAGAAATCATCACTCATTTATTAATATCAATGATAATGAGCCTGTCTGGAGTTGTTAATTGGTTCTAGGCMCAGTGTTAAGTTCCTGAGATGCAAAACCAGTTCATTATCAACACTCAGCCAGCAATGTAGTTGTCTTTAATGGTAACAACTCTTGAGAAGTACTGCTTCACACTTACAAGAAATCAAATGCAAGAAATGCTCTCAAAGCCCATGAGGAAAATGACAGCTACTTGCATTTCACTGAACACCAGAACTGGCAAAAATCTTCTCTTTCAAACTCTAACTTCAATGACTCATCACAAAACAACTCAATCAGCAAAGCTCATACATCTGGTAGCAATGTGGTGCTACAGCTAAAGCCCTCCTCAGCCAACAGCTCACAGATCCAACTCCTTCCAGCATCACTCTCACCCATGGGGAAAGAATTCCTTCAACAYAGCCTTAAATCAGACCAGGTATCGACAGGGCCTTATTTGAGACAGGTGGGGAGTTCATACCTCTCAGAGTTATTGGTTCAACAGACCTTGCTACACTGATTTACACCGAGTTTATGTTTTCAGACTTATCCCAGCAAACATAAAGACAAGCAGCATGATTGTTCTCATATGCTTCAGTAAAAGTACAATGCACAGGATCCACCATGTCTGCCAACTTCTGTGGTTGATAAACACCAGAAAAAAGGTGGTAACAAGCAACCAAGAAAGCGGTAACATCAAGCATTGCTACAGTCATGCTGGTGGGAAACATCTACCCACTGCCTTATCTTTCTCTCATTTTATACTGATGTTGAAATATCACTGACATCTTCTATAGCAGTTTCTTTTACAGTACAATCACCTCCACACTTTTGCACAGGCAATGCAAATTTATCTTCAGCGGACCTAACCRAAAGCCTCTCAGATATCTTACTGGCCCATTGCTCAGACTGAACTGTGATACATTTTTTGTGAAGAATACAGAGAGATATACGCTCGCTCCGAAACTACAGAACATAACCGCACAGACTGCATGAACAAAATGCCTAATCGCTTTTAATGAAAAGTAAATATCTAAAGTTTGCTGCCGCTTTTTTTCCTAAAATCATGTGTTCTGCTAAGGCCAAACATGACTCTATCTGGCTTTCCTTGCACAAAAGGAAAAGATTATGGTAGAATTTTGTTGGCTGTTCCTTTGAATTCCAAAGGACAGAGGGTCYGCATTCAACCTCAAATTTGCAAAAACAACAAACCCACCCACAAATTCATTTTAAGAATGGTCTTGGAARAAGTCTGAATAATTAGCAAAGCTGAACTGTGTTATCACTCACTCACCCAGGATCCTCAAGCCATTCTAGAGACATAAAAGCAGTTCATAACATTGAAAAAAGCTCACTCTCCTGGACATAACCGTACTGTAGCKCATCAAACATTTGAATCAGTGTTTTACCTCACTCCTTTTTCTGTCTCACGGGTTGTTCCTGGACAGATACTGCAGACACACAAGCACTTCTTGCAAGCTGCTTGTCAAATTCCATCACAGCTCTTTATGAGTAGCTGGCTCATGGTCATGTGTCTTCCATGAGAACAGGATGGAAGGGGAAAGTTCATCCTAAGTACTGACCTTTGGAAACCACAGAGAGCTGCAGAACCCAGTGCTGTGCCACACAAAGCCAGCACTGGGTGAGACAACTGAGACTTGAAAAGCAGAACAGCTGTTTCAGCACAACTATGAGGCAGCTGAGTTAATTAGCTGTGACCTGCTCAGCTGAAACTAACTCGGTATTTTCAGAGAGCTGGCGATTTTTTACCCTGCACAAACAACTACAGTGGAAGTTTCATTAGGAGTTTTTCAAATGTTTTCCTAGTTGGGACAGAAAGTAGGTAACGTTTGTTTAATTATTCCTACATCTTCSTCAAGGACTACAGGTATTGCACATTACTAGGTTCCATTAAAATATCAGAGCAACTTTCACTGTCAAATGCCCTTATTGACACATCTCAAGTGCATTATTAAAAGACAAACCTACAATGTTCTTCAAGGCACTTATTCAAATGTGAGCAGCCTTATGTACAAGTAAACCCTATCAAGCATGTCTGCTTGAGGAGTTAGATCTTAAGAACCTCTAGAAGCAACAACACTTCCAACATCGAGCTGAKAGAATCCAAAGAATGCACTGCTGTGTTATTTCATACTAGCACCTTTCCAAGTCTTCTAAATTTTGCATAAAGCAAGTCAGTAACTACAACACAGCAAGGCTTCACATGGCTAGGTAACTGTGAGTCTTCAGCTCATTTTTTGGCTTTTTTCCTTTTAAATGAAATGGATTATAAAAACTGATGACAGCATCCTCATGATTCATTGTTTTCCTCACATCATCCCCAAAGCTAACTTCTTTTTAAACAAAATCATTTGGTGAAAATTTGTCATAGGTTACAATTTGAAGCTGGTCTAGCTATTAGATCACAATCACAGAGACTAAAGTAAGTATATTTCAATGCACACAAATACTTCAATCAGCTTCAGAGAATTATTCTGATGTATAAAATCAGATTGCAGTAGAGATTTCAAGAAAAAAAAAATCAATCTACTGTCCAATTCATAGACAATTATTTATTTGTGCATACGCATCAMTAGACTGGCAAGGGAAGCTGATAATGAACATTCTAAAGGTCACCAGGCATCTCTCATTACAAGAACCTTGTTTTATTTTCTTGTAATTTTGCTCTAATCTTGAACCATTTCAACTAAAAAGTTTCACARGACACACCAACTCAAGATGAGGGTCCTTTTATTAATAATTACAGATGAAAAACATTAACCTATTTAAAATACCTGCATTTTGTTTGGAATACATTAGAAAAAAACCCCAACTGACTAGCTTTCTTTGGGTTCTAGATGTTCAAGCAGAGACTTGARATTCTGCAAGCTTTCAATAACCTTTTTTTTACATCCCAAGAAATCTGTTAGTCWGGGCCCTTCCAGGGCTTGTGCATTCTCAACAGAAACAGATTTCTCAAGTCAATTTCCCAACGGCTCCATCTGTGCAGGGCATGCTGCCGAGAGGCTCAACAGGAGCTTCCTTGTAGCCACTGGCTCTTCTGAGTTAAGCTCTCTTTACTGTCCATAGGCCTCTTACAGTGAATGACCTCCAGATGGGTCCAAGTTGCCTGAGCTGATGCAGAGATAAAAAGAAGAATATATTGGGTCAGCTAGGTAAGGGGGAAAGAGGCCTGTAGGCATCTGGCAGGGCACTGGWAAAACTGCACAAGGAAATCAGTACMKAGAGCTGGGTACAGAAGAATTTGATGAAGAAGGATGAAATGAGGGTCAGGGGTCACAAAGGACTCAAAAATGAAGAAACCTGAGTGCAAACTGGGCACTGCCTGAGRAGCAGCTGGATAAAAGYYAYGSATGGGAGTTTGGAGATGCTGGCAAYGAAGTGGCCACCRGCATCTTGGGCTGTAASAACAGAGGCAGACTCAGGAGATCCAGGGAAGGAACCCCTCCACTCAGGTCTCATTAGAGCATTTCTGGAATACTGCATTCAGATATTTCCAATGCAGGAAAGACACTGGTGAGCTAGAARGAGTTCAGGAAAGCACCACTTTGGTTGCCCTGCCCTGGGATGGCAGGGCTGGAGCATCTAGTCTGTGTGGAGAGGCTGAGGAAAGACTGCTTCGGGGGACCAGAAAAAGCAGCCCCAGTACCCCAATGCTGGTGGAAGATATGCAGGAGATGTTGATGGGCTGCCCAGAGAGGCTGTGCACACTTCATCTTTGTTGGTTTTCAAGACCAAACTGGGTAAAAGCCAAAAACAGCCTGATCTGATTTTAAAGCTATCTCTGGTACCTGTGGGAGGCTGGACTCAGCCTGAGTTATCCTGTGATCCTACAACTTGGGCATGGCAAAGGCAGCCAGAATGGGACAAAAAACCTTCAGCACCCATCAGGTCATCCTGCTCCCAGGCACTATCACAACACCAGGGTTTCCCACACCACCAGCCCWTTCAGTCTCTCAGCGCCCATCCTTGCTACCCTACTGCAACCTTCTCCATCAAACACAAGGCCCAAGCAGGATGTGCTTTCAGTCACAAAATTCAAATTTCACGATAGCCCGTGGAGGGTGGGAAGAACACAAAAGTCTCCTTTCAGCTTCCGTGGCTTAAAGACCTTGAGCATTACAAGCCATTCAGATCGTAAAGTCAAGTTTTCAGAAAAAGCCATGATGGCAAAACCACGGATGCTCAACGCACCACAGGGAATTCGCTCCTGCAGAGGCCAAGGCCCGGCGTGGGCACGGCAGCGCGCAGGAAAGCAGCTCCCAAGCGGGTGCCGTGCCTGCCCTTCCAGCAGCACTCACCTGTGCTGCCCATCTCCCACATCCCGCCAGCGCAGGTACCAAGGGCAGGGGCACTGCTGTGCCTGTGCAGGGATCTACCGAGAGCCTGGTGGGGGTGGCACCGCCTGCTCTGATTAAAGGCCTGAAAGAGAGAGCGGCTGTGCCGCAGCCGAGCGGCGCCCACGCCCGCCCTCCTGCTCCGTTACCCCACAGCCACCCCAGAGCAGGGACACCCCGCCGGGAGAGACCCGACCCCGGGCACACGCAGCAGCCTCCTGCCCACGGAGCGAGCAAGCGGCACCAGCTCCATCCCTTCGGCCTCCTTTCCCTGGCGGCCCCTCCCCGCTCCCTCCCTCTGCCCCACGCCCCGCTCGGTCCCTGGCGGCCGAGCCCCGCGGGCGGGCGGGCGGCGCTGGCTCTGCGGCGGGCGGTACCTGGACAGGGAATCGCCGCTGGGAGGCCGCGGTGCCGCCGCCCGCCCGGCGCCCAGGCTCTCGCAGCTGGAGCTGCCCTCCATGGCGGGCGGTGGCCCCGCGGCGGGCGCTGTCCCCTTGTCCCTCAGCCCCGCGCCCGGCGCCCGGCGGGACGGGAAGCGGCCATGCTGGCCCGGCGTGCTGCGCGGGGGGCGGGCCGAGGCGGGGCGCTGAGGGGGCCGAGCCGCCGCGGGCTCCGGGGAGCGGGGCTRCCCCTCGGCTGGGGTCGTGCCCGARCRGAGTGRCYCGCCATCTCCTTTTCCGTCCTCTTGAGAGCCAGGGGAACGGGGCAGCTCCCGAGTTCCATCCCCGGAGCGCGGTGGTCGTTCCCAGGAGCCAGGAATTGGTCTGTCTCGAGCATCCCTCTTGAAGTGAGCTCACCGGCGTTTGGGTGTGTACCCATGGTTAAAGCAGATGTGCTCCTCACATTTGTAATTGGCCGTATCTGCTCGRGAATGCTGGTTGAGTCTGTCCCTCAGCTGGATGGGGCAGGGGCCGTGGGAGGTGGCGGGTCACAGTGACACGGGTCAGCTCTGCAGGGCGCGGGCACGGATCCTCTGGGAATTACCCGGCTGAAAGCTCGAATGCATCCCTGGCCATCCGTGCCCGGGAGGCTCTGCTGGCACAGCYCGGGATTAAGGGTCCTGCAGGAAGAGCCGTGGTACATTCAGTGCTTGGAGGAGTGTACCGAGGAGCGAGAGAAATGCTCTTGGCATTGCTTACAAAGACTGATTAACTGCATCTTAAGCCTCCCGTAGCAAGGATGCAGATGCCTTCCAAACGCATAGCTGTTGTGGCAACAATCTCATGAGGCAAAAAGACTGAACCACTGGGGATGTGTTAGGGGGCAGGTGGGTTTCCAGAAACGCCTGCTTGTTGGTAAATAGCATTTCATGTCAGGAGCATCCGTCCAAATGGACCTCCCTGTTTTAAACACTACCTCAAAACAGGATAAACCCTTTGTCTTCTAAACATCTGTATACTCTGTGGGTGTAGAATGGTTACCGAAACAACATCCATTTTCATGCTCCAATGAGTAAATTAGTTGATGTGTTTCCCTCTGTTGTTTCCCATTTTGTTCCTGTCGTCAGAAGTCATGCAGGATGCTGAAGYGGATTCACAGCATCCCCACCTGAGACTGCATGATGCAGCTGTGAAATTGCCTTTGTTGCTCTTGCCTTTAGTCTCTGTCAGCTGCTGTTGAGCAAGGTTGATGTGGGATGTTTTTGAAGCAAGGTTTAAACTTAAAAATATAGCTTTGTTGAAGCAGCTTTGTTGTTTATTTTTGTGTTTTTCATTTAATCTTCTGAAGAAAGAGTTAATAAAATTGCAAATGAGTTTGGGGGGAGGGCGGGTTTCGCCAGAAAATGGGGTTTGTGGAAGCTTTTCTGAAATAAAAACTCTGTTTTCTGATTAAAAGTGAGACCCCTGTTTGAAAAGTAAGCTAATTGCTAGTGTTTTATTGCAGCATTAAAATCCAAACAAAACGCCTCAACATCGTTACAATTAAAAGATCCATAGACCTGTGCTGATTTTGCTCCAGCTATAAAATTATTTTAAATGTTGATTCTTTTCCCCCTCTCCTCTGTTTAGGGGCAAAGAACATTTTAGAAGCACCATTTATTAATAAAAACTGAGATACTAATGAGATACTATCTCCCTGCCTCTTCTGTTTATCTTTCCATCCACATCCGTGTCCGGTGAGCAGATGGTGTCCTCTGTGGGGACAGGCGGGCAGGAGGTGCTGTGGCAGCAGTGCTTCAGCATCTTTGGTGAGCAGTCAGGCAGTCAGGCTCCTGTAGCCTTTCCCCATTGGAACACTCTCTTCCCAGCCTTTCCGGGGATGGAGCTCCTGGCTCCCCCCGTGGGAGGGGTCGGCGCTGTAGAATGAGCGCAAAGCAGTGCAAGACTCCCTTTAAAACCTCATCAGATAGCCTTGTGGTGAGTTGGTATTACCTCCGTTCCCTCTGCTAAGCTTAGTTTGATAGAGGTGCCGTTGTTTAAAAAAAGTCAAGTAGGAATAAAAACAATATATAAGCCTCCATTGCTATGTGAAYGTATTAGAGTGCCTTCCTTTCTTCCTAATTTGCTATTGATGTRGCATCTCTAAGTAGTTTATTGATGAAGTGCTCTATTTGCTTTTCACTGCCCTGTTTTGTTCTTGGCCTTATCCCCAGGGCCTGTGAAACCCTTTCAAAATTCCCACTGGTGCTTTGTAAATGAGAACAAAGCTAATCACCTCCTGGATCTCTCCTGCTGCTGAAAGAAACTAGCAGTCTGCTCAGTGAGTCTTTCTGCTCAACAATACCACATTTTCAAAGTCAGTCAGAATATTCTCTTTGTGAAGTGCCTTACCTCAGGGCTCTTAAAAGTGATGGAGAATTAAATAAAGGCCTTACTTAACCAAAACCAATTAAGGACAATTCACAAGACYGTTGTATAACTGATGCAAAATAAGTGTAGTTCAGTCTGTTAACCCACTTTTGCTTGCCACATCCCTTGCCATTATCTTACAAATATCATCATTTGGGTTTGGTTGAGGTTTTTTTGTTTTTGTTTTTGTTTTTTTTTTTTTATGAGGGAATGTTCTGCCATTTTTTGATTTCAATACAGGAAACAGTAAAATAAAATTAGCATCATGGATAAGTAATAAAACTATCTGTTCATCTTCAATGCCAGGTGGCTGACACAGCTGAGTGATATCTGAAAGAGAGAAYGACAAGGAATTTCCCTGAATAAAAGGTGTAAAAGATTAATTCCAAGTAAGAGACTTGTGGTTATCCTCCAATACTTCCTGAAATTATATGTTATTGTAGCATATATAAAGTGAAAAACACATAGCCAGGCTTTCTTAGGTGTTTAAAGGCTGTCAAAGCTGTGGTGAATAAATACAGCCAAAGAGGATAATTTTATGTACCATGTAAAACATAATTAAGCGAGGGGAAGTAAGATTTTTGTTTCAGTCCTTCTTACGTGATAATGAGATAACATTTGTGTCCATTGTATTTAAACTATGTATCTGTTGGGTYACTTTCTAGCTCCGTGTGTAYGTGTGATCCATACATCTGCTTTGTKCCRGATGTTATGAATCCAGATGTTCTCATCCCTGGATTAGCTCCTCAGTTTTGCTGCTGCACGGCCAAGCACAGGTCTATTGTGTCTCACACTGTCACCACAGGGCTCACCAAAACTGGGGACAGTCACGCATTCCCCGGACATCCTGGYACAACCTTTTTCAGGGKTCCTGTGGAGATGTTTGGTGGGGAKGGAGCAGAGGAGGAATCATGCTTCTGCAGTGCTCAAAGGGTAGACCATGAAGCAGGATCTTCCACTCAAACAATCCATTCTGAGAAAGCTGCTCCTCTGCTGCAGGCTTTGTCATAACCTGCCCTTACATGGTACAGCTCATCAGACATTCCCCTCCCTCYCCCTCTCCCCATCACACAACCCAGCACAGGGCTGAAAAGCCTATAAATAATAAGGGAGTGAGAGCCCTAATCTCTTCTGAAAATGATCGCCTTGTCCCTTTTGTTACAGCCYCAACATTAAAATCATATCCATCCTAAAACTAGCTCTCTTTGCTGCAGCTCTGTGGATCTCCCATATTTTTGCCACTRTACTCATATATTCCCTCTTAGACAGCACATTAAATACTTCATGGCAAAGGCAGCTCCACACCATTGCCTTCTCTAGTCTAGTCCCCATACACGAGTCCAACAAACTTGCAGCATGACTCAGTCCCATAATTGTTCTGAAAACCACACAGCCAGAGAAACCCTTGTCTCTCCTTTGATTCACTAAAATGGTTCTGAGATTTATTATATTTTCTTGTCTCCTAGACGTACAGCTTAAAGGCAGTGGGCAGCCAATAAAAGACTCACAGCACCTTGGGAAGGGCAGATTGTCACTGGTGAGATCCCATTGTGATGTATGATCATCAAATCACACTGGAAGTGGCATGTGTTCCTTTTGTCAAGCCCCATCAGCTGATAAAGTATGAGGTCAGAAACAGCGAGAGCTTTGGCATAGGCAGAGAGGTTGATGAAGAACAACTCCCTGTGGCTGTGATTTGGAGCTGGAGCTGATTGTGGTTGCAAAAACATCTGTTGCAAGATGGTCATAGGGTACATGCACAGATTTGGTCCTGCTGATGCATGATGCCTGTGCTGTTGAAGTTGGAAACTAGTCAAAACAAAGAGAGGGACTCACAGCAACACTTAACTTGTCACTGTGCCTCTAACGTTGCTACGCTTCTGATTAATCTGATCAGAGTGGTCACCTCAGCTCACCCACAATGTGGTTTTCACTGAGTAGGATGGCACCTCGACAGTGCTTTTGCTTTGCACCCCCACTATATTCGACAGAAGCAGAAGCTAAGGATCAATGACCCTTTAACACTTTTTTGGTCACTTAACTGTTTTTTTCATGCACTCATGCACATCTTGATGCAAGATACTATAAACGTTGGCTCTGGACTCTACCTGGACTTAATCCTGTATGCTATAGCTTGTTACCTGTTTACTCAGCAGTTCTGATGGGCAGACTATTTACTCTGTCTGCTGCTCTCTCTTTCTTGTCCTCACTCCCACCACCAGCTCCTGGCTGCCCCCAGAGCATTCAGCCACTAACTATCCCACAGGCAAACAAGTACGTCTGGATCCATSCCAGTGTGTGCTCAGTGTGTACAGACCGCTGGAGTCAGGCGATTCACCCGGCTTTTCATTGCCTGATGCTTTTAATTCTCGATGGCCTCTGCAGTGCTCTGTAGCCTGTGTTTTCTTCCAGCTCCGTGGTGGTACCGGCACGGTCCAAGGAAGGGACTGTAGGGCTGAGCAGACTGTAGGGAGCCTGAGGATGCGGGCACCTGGAGAGCTGTATGCCTTGGGCTCTGGGGGCGGGATTTCCACTACATGCTGCAGAACACACGGATCCTTTTTTTGTGTCAATTCCAATAAAGCATCTTTTCTCCTGAAGGACTAAATGCATCACAGCAGCTGTCTGCCTGTCTACAGATTTGGGCTGTTGCACTCTGGCAGCTCCTTGGCAACTGTGTGATGGTCTCCAATCTGGAAACATGAAGGAAGACGGAATTACTCACAGGAGTTAAATTTGAAATTTCTGGTGCTTGTTA